AACGATGTTCAGAGCCGTAGTTTTCCAGCGCGAGGCTCATTAGAATCTGATAGTTTTGACCTTTGCGAAAGGCGACTTCAGTATTGTTTCCGGTAAAAATCGTTTTTCTCAAATTCTCGCCAAAATAAGCAATATTTTAAAAAACTAACGACAGCACGTTTCATTTCACGCTATAGGCTACCTATGGACAAAATATGAGCGAAATCGATTTTTTGACTTGTGCCGCCGTTTGGTGGATTTTTACAGAAAGTCGCTCTTAAAACATGGTTTCAAAATCATCAAGATATATTTTTAAGAAGCTTTTGTTGTTGCTTTAGTAACGAGTTGAACCATAGTCAATAGGGGGGGATGGTTTAAGGAAACCCTTTTGATATAGGTCTTATTAATTGTTCACTTTTTTCAAGCGTGACCCTGCAAAATCCTTTGTTTTACTATTGTTGGCAATGGCTGAGTGAACAGACCAAAATCTTACTTTTGGCTGCTAGTTCAAAATACTTAGAGATTTATAAGAGATATTTGAATACTCCTTACAACAATCCCATGGACAAAGTTTATGTTTACTTGTTTTGCAATTTCGGATGAGCATATCAAACATTGTGCACGGTCAAGACCGGTGCAATATCAAAAGCGAACAACTACCTGATAACAATAGGTTTCCTAACCCCTCTATCAAGGCAAGAGACAAGGTATTCTTCGAGTTACGATTTTCGAGTTACACATTGTTCGAGTTACGCGCTCGGACACACCCATGTTTTGGATGCCACGCCCACTTTGACATCTGTGCGTAACTCGATAACAAACGGCGTTGAAATCAAACTCGAGTCACGTAACTCGAACCCAACAGATTGAACCTTATTTTTCGAGTTACGCGCTATTTCCGTATCTCGATTCTAAAAGTGGAGCAATATTTTTTCGAGTTAATTTAAAAGAGAAAAAGGATTTACTTCTCAATAAATTAACGGAATTAAAATTAAAATTAACACATCAAATCAAATAAAAAAGTCCCTTGCGGGCGGACTAAAAAATGTTACAGGTAGGCCGAACGATCGTACTGTTTATTGACTAGAAATGACCGGACTGTCTTATAGTTTTAATGGTTTTATATTGCAACGGTTTTATTTTGCTCTCTTTTACTCCGACGAAGGACTAGCGTCCGAAACGTCAGAAACAGTTTTTTCATCCTTTTACGGTGTTTTATCTTTACTGTTTCATTAGAAACACCGACGCAGCCCACTCTAGTTTTTAGCTAGTTATATCTTCTGGTTTTATATTGCGGTAGCTATCATTCGAGCTATGTCGAGTAAGAGAAAATGAGAACTGAAATATATAATGATATTCGAGTAATATATATCTGTATGATATATACGGAAAGAACGTATTAAATGCGAGTAAATATAGACAATATAAAATGAAGAAACACGATTAAAAAATATGATATAGTCAAGTAAATCCGCGCGATCTGATTGGTTGAAAAGCATGAATCATTTGCCCATGGGTTACACGCTCACGTCAGCTTTTTTTGCTTCGGCGAAAAAAAACTTTTTGTGTCTTTTTGCAGACAATTTTTCTAGAAAAGACAACTGAAAATGACTAAAAAAACTAGCGAAAATACTCATCAATCTCCGACAATTAGTATAGAGTTGTCATTTGATCAGCCTAGTAATAAAACGTCAAGATTTGCATCACTTTCAAACACTAGTAAGTAAGCTGGACAAGATTGTGTCAGAGCGTCACTTCAAAAAGACAAAGCAAACCACAAATTGGTCGGTGTCTACATTCAAAGGCTTTTAGCAATGATTAAACATATACAAAAATATTGTTATCGTGTATTTATTCAACAAAAGTATTTCCAAAGTAATTAATTATATAAATATCACGTTCAACATCTACTCTTCGCAGCTTCACCGGCAGTGAAGTCCTTCCTGATCATGAAGCTCAACATGGGAGTGAAAGCCGACAAAAAATACCACCCAAAGAAAATTAATCCAGTCAGTTAGTTAGTTTTGATCCGTGTGCAAGATAGGGCTTTCCATTGCTAAGTCATTTTATGATAACTATCTTGAACATCGTCAACAACAACAAAGACAGCCACTGTGTTTTCCAATGATTTTCTTGGCATTACTGTACTAAGATTTGTCAACTTTGAAATGTACTTTTTACAGTTGAAAATCACTTTCTCCGTAGTTTTGAACTTTTTTGGTTTACATGTAAGCTAAATTTTCGCCATTATTTTAGCAGGCCCGTAGCGGGGGAGGGGCCATGGGGGTCTGGGCCCCCCCAATAATTTCACAACTTTTAAGTAAACGTCCAGCTAAATTTCAAACACTATTACCTTAAAATTGATAGAGGCGACTCATTTTTCCAAAAAAAGTTCACATAGTTGGCATTTTTGTAAATGTCGAAAAACTCAAAACAAGACATGCGGAAAAGCACATTCTGGCATTTGGAAATCGTGATTGTTTTGTAATCCGTTTGCGTTAATATTCTGTCAGTCAATGAGGAGTTTTCGACCAATAAGCGTTGAGTAGTTTCCTATCTGATAATGCATGAAGTACCACTATAAAATATTATTTTATAGGAGTTTCCCCCGTGTTCTGAGCTTCCCAAACAACTACAGGAATCCGTTTTACTCTCGAAGGGCTTCACACCTCGTCAATAATAGTTTATTTCAAGAAAGTTCATTTTCTCTTTTTAATTTTCGTTTTTTTCGTTAATTTCTTAAGTAAAAAAAGAGGGCCGGCAAACAACCGAGAGCCTCCGCAAGTCGCAGACAATTCTAAATATTTGTCTGTACTATTCATAATACTCGAAATAAAGCGCGAAATTAAATGACATATAATCCACTAAAATGCTAGTGCCAACGGATCACGGTTACATCAGAATGTCT